GACCAATTGTACTTCCTATACAGAAAACCAATCGAAACGTGTCAATTTGAAAATTCAGGGAATGCTCCATCAGTGAAACTTCCTGTTCAATCTGTAGATGTCAAAAATTTAGCGACAACTTGAAATCATCTGTCACGAATTCCATTGGTCAATCTCAGAAATGCAAAACCGCTGATTCTGATTGGCCAGGACCACATCGATTTAACAATACCCAGAGATGTTATACAGGGGCCTCCCAATGCACCTGTTATTTAAAAATCCAAATTAGGATGGGTGGCTCATGGAAACTAATCATATTTCAAACATCGAGTCGACTCTCACTGTTCTATGACGTGTTATATGAAAAATGATGTTTTTGAAGATGACGAATTGAAAGAACTAGTGAATGAAACTATTCTGATGGATAATTTGGGAGTTGAAAATGACAAATTCAATCATATTTCAGAAGAAGACAAAAAGGCGTTTCAACTCATGGAAGAAACATGTCGCCAGTTAGAAAACAACCACTGGGAAATTGGTTTGCTTTGGAAGAAAGAAAATATCAATTTGCCAGACAGCAGAGTTACCGCGTTGAATAGATTATTCACTGTAGAGAAGAAAATTCAGAAAGATAAGCATTTTGGAGAGCAATATTCCATAAAGATTGAAAATTTCGTTGAAAAAGGATACGCAAAAGTTTTGACTTGCGAAGAAGCCGCCGTTACGTCTCACAAAACCTGGTATTTGCCACACTTTGCAGTAAAACATCCTAGTAAATGACAAAAATTCAGATTCGTATTTGATGCCAGAGCCAAAATAGATGGAACCAATTTGAACGAAAATTTATTAAAAGGTCCTGATCTTTTGAATTCCTTAGTAAACATTTTATTCAATTTTCGTCAAAATCGAATAGCTGTAATGGACATGTGCACAGTAATATACAAGTGTGTCATCAGCAAAGAGATGAATTTTACACTTGTCTACCTCATTAACAATATCATTTATATATATTAGGAATAAGAGTGGTCCTAGTGTACTGCCCTGAGGTACTCCGTTGTTATTGACAATTTCACAGGACGTTACATTATTAAGTTTTCTTACTTGTCTTCTACTACTTAGGTAATCTTCAAACCATTTATAGACTGTACCGGATATACCATAATTTCTCAATTTAAGCAGGAGTCTTTTCCTATTTACTGTCTCAAAGGCTCTTTTCAAGTCTAAGTAAACTGCTCCTACATTCATATTTTGATCTGTCCACATTTTCCAGTCAAATAAAACACTTTGGACCGCTGTTTTGCAATTATGCCCAGTTCTAAAACCTGTTTGAAAACTATATCTATCATTGACCCTCCTGTAGCAGTTAAATGTGTTATCTCATCAATTGAGTTTGAAAAACCCACGTCATCCATAAAGTTCTTTAATCTTAAAATATTTGTATTTGATTCTAAAAAATTCAAATTAAAATCTCCACAAATTATTATTCTAGAACTTCTTTCAGTTACATTTTCTTCACACCAATCTTCAAACAATTGCAAAAATCATGCTATGCTACTACTGGGAGACCTGTATAAAACACCGATACTCCCGTTAACCAAAACACTTTATCAATACACTCCTTGAACACTTCAACTATCGTTAAACTTTTTTCAGTCAATATCAAAGTCCCCCCTGTATGTCTACTTCTACTGTCGGTTCTAGTCAATATATAGTTTTCTATACTAATTTCTGCATTAAATATATCGTCAGTAACATGCGTTTCCGACAAACATACCATTGAGGATTTTTTTATACCCACAAAAGTCCTAATTTCATCAGTATGTGCAGGTACACTTTGAAATATAAAATAAAATTATCTAAAGTAAAATTATTGTCTATACAGGATGTTTTTGGAAATCTGTTTCTAAAAAAGAATCATCGTGAATGACAGTGGTATTTTCATTATTGTTATCTGACTTTGCTTGACTAGAAAGAGCAATATTAGTACATTCAATATTACTAGTTTTTTTGTTATGAACAGTTTCATAAACACTTTCATTGCCGATCCAATTTGATTGACTGTTTTCTTTTATTCCTCCACTTCTATCCATCATTTCTATTATTCCTTCCATCAATTTGACTTTACCTACATATTTAAAAATGAGAACTTTTTTAAATAAAACATTTGAGTAATTCAGTATTGAATTGACATGCAAAAATACAATATTTTTCATTTCCTTGACTTCATGATGAATGTTTATATTAATATCTTCAATAAATTTGTTGAGAACTTTTGCCCATCTAGGGATTGAAAAAATTATAATATTTGTTCTCAAGCTTACCTCCTTAAATGCGTCAAATATGTTTTCATTTACCCCTTTACCTCTCATACCATTTGTTAAACCTACTGCTGGTCGTTGAATGTAAACGACTCAGTCAGATTTTTGATATCAACAATAATATCCTGTAGTTCAGCATTGTGTTTGATAAAAGCTTGTACTAAATATTTATTAGGCTGAAAGTTGTTTAATATTTTCGTTAAGTCAGTTGAATTACTATCACCTAATATGAGAATTTTTTTTAAATCTTGACTACCGTGTTTTTGTAAATATACTTTTTTGAGTTCTTCTACCCTCTTGATAATCATGAATGTTGTTTCGACATATGTTTTGTTTAAAGTCTGTCTTTTGTACAATGTTACATTTTACATAGTTTTTCCACTTTTCCAGTTCCTTTCTATATAGATCATTTTCTGCAGTTGAAACTTCTATGGATGTGATCATATTATCATTCAATGTTGTAAACTCCCGTATGTCCTCTTCTAGTTTCCTCATGTCATATTTCAGAATTTCTGCTTCATTTCCAAAAATTTCATTATTTTGTTGTAAATTTGTGATATCTTCTACGGTTAATTCTGTTTGTACACTGGCTATTTTGTGTTTGCTAATTTTCCTTGTGGTTTGTGTCGGATGTAGTTTGTTTCGGAATTAGTATGATCTTTACGTGTCAATCTTAACTAGGTTTCGAGTTCTTCAATTTTATCTTTGGCTATTGAAATTTCTTCCTCACTGATATTCATTATTTCTTTCAGTTTTGATAGCGTTTTCTACGAATTTCTGTTTCTGTAAGTTCATTTTTACCATATATATTTGTTTTTTAATTCATTTTCTTCTTCCATATCCTCTAATGTTTTTTCTAGAATGTTTTTTTCTATTTCCAATAGGGATATTTCATTTGTTTTTTGTTTTTCACAACACATTATTGTTGGACTACTCAACAATTGAAATTTCCCCTTGTTACTTAGAACACATGATTTGTGACACATACTGGAGCAGTTTACACAGAAATAATAGGGAGAGGGTCTGGTTTTACAGCATCTAAACATTACCATTTTGTTTAAAAAGGGCTACGCCACTGGCTTCCTGATTTACTGAAGGAGATTCCCCTTTCTTTTGCTCTTATCGGTTTTTCACGTATAAATAATAAATAACTTGTCACTAGATAAGGCCTTTTTTATACTTATGCACAAAAAACTACAAAAAAGGCCGCAGATATAGTTTTGTTGCTTGTTTGATTGTTCAAACATGCACTTTAAGTACCTCAAATCTCGATAAAAGTTATTCCATCACAAGATGTCACTTGTAAAAATACTTCGATCCGAAAATCACGAATTTTGACAATGTTTTTCCACTTGAAAAAGTCTATTGTTATTGGAGTTTCACTCTTATCTACTATTCACTTGTCGGACTGAGATAGAGATATTTACTGAGTCCTGACCTGTCACTTTCAGATGTTAGGTTGTAGGGTGCCTTATTTTGGTAGTTTCTTGTTTCGTAAATTCGTGTTTTGTCACCTAGGAAAATTTTACCTGTTATGACCCATTTTATTCTTGTTTTGTCAACTGCAAAATATACCTGCTTAAGGTGTTCATGTTTCGTCACCTCATCTTTGCACCTGCGCTAGTTGAGTTTATTTGTTTATAATAACACTAGCTGACCTTGTAAACTTCGTACTGCCTTAAAATACAATCAGGGATAATATAGGATTCCAATGGTAAAAGAATTTTTTAAATCGGCCCAGTAGTTTCGGAGCCTATTCAATTCAAACAAAAAATCTTTCCTCTTTATAATATTAGTGTAGATTATTGTAGATATTACCTGCGAAAAGGTCAAAAAGGTACAGGTGACGAAACAAGAAATTTTGGGGCAGGTGACGAATCACGAATTGACGAAACAAGAACAAATCTTTATTTCTATTCTATGGAATGTTCAGGCACTTGAGATTCGGATATCACTTTCACGTATCTTGCCTAATTGTGAACAGATGCGAAAGGGATTGTTTAGGATGGCTAAGTTCCAGTTTAACTATATGGATTTTAAATATTCAATTTTCATTAACTCAAAACTTGAATTTAATGTTTCACTTCATAAAGTTTTTCACGGTATTATCACTGTTGTTTTGATATTGAATTTGAAATTTTCGAAGGTAAAGAAACCACAAAATTTTCACTTTATATCAGAACTCCGGAGACACACGTGTGCACTTCTACCCACTTCATACATGCTCACAATACTTGAAATAAAGATAACTTGATCACTCCTCAAACCCGGTTACAAAGAATGGACGATACTATCGATATCAAACTCTACAATATCCTACCCCTCATAGAACGCTCTCTAAGCATTGGTAAATTCAAAAGATATTCACTTACAGAAAATTATTTATATAGTATCGATGACTTTTTCTTTACCGTGCCTGCGTGATCATAGACCGAAGATCTATCTCTATCATCACTTTGTGTTTCATTTTAAGATTCATTATTTCATCGTATTGTTTACCATTACATTAGTCTGTTTCATTTTATTGTCTCATATTTCGTTATGTCAAAGTTACCTATTGTAATTGTATTTTGCGACATGTTTGAAAGGTGTAGCTTCATAAATTTGAATTTAAATATAATGGTTGCTCTGTTATTTACTGTGAGTAACAAGTAACTTGGTGAAGGTATAATTATAAGTTTTACCACCAACACCTATTTGCAGGAAAGAGATGAAAGGCTCCCTAGAAAACGATCTCCTATTCGTCATCGTTCATTATCCAGAAATCGTAGTAGATCTCGTTCTAGATCATGGGACAGAAACAAACGATCAAGATCAAGAGAAAAGTCCAGAGAACGATTAGATCGAGAAAGACTAGACAGAGAACAACATAGGTTAGATCGAGACAAGAGAGACCGTACAGATCGGCCACGTGTTTGGAGAAATAAATCGCCTCCAAGACGATACGCCACTAGGAGGCCTTCTCGTACTCCTTCTCCAATGAGAATTAGGTCTCGTTCTAGAAGTCCAAGGCACTCCCACAGAAATAGGTAATAAATTATATAATTTCAAGACAACATTGCTACTAACACATTCAGTTGTGTACCAACTAAGAGACAATAGGTGTTTACAATAGATTGGTCAAAGTTTTTTCATAACCCAGATTTCTCATCAATTCTGGGTTTTAAAAAACTACCTTCATGGAAGAATCAAGTAGTAAAACAGTTTTTTTCAGGTATAGAATTAGATCTTCAGCTAGTCGAAGTAGATCAAGATCATTAGAAAAGAAGGATCATAGGGATCCACCAAAGGATAAAGAGGGTGGTTCTAGACCAGCAACTCCAACCCAAGATTCAAATCATGGTGATTTGGATACCAGGCTAGCAAATAATGCTCATAACATCCAAAGCGCAATTCAACAAGGCAGTAAAAAAAGATGCAGGGATTTTGACGAGAAAGGTTATTGTATGCGTGGAGAAATGTGCCCTTTTGATCATGGAATTGATCCAGTGGTTTTAGAAGATACCACTCTCACTCGAGTTCTGACTTATAACCCAAATGGCACTCCAGCTGTCGTAACTCCAGGAGTTATACCAACCCCCGTTCTTACTGCTCCAGGTCATCCTATGATGGGGCCAAGACATCCTTTACAGCCTGATCATCCATACAATCCTCAGGCACCCCATATCTGGAGGGATGCCAGGTTTAGAGGACCGAGACCAATGGGAATTGCTAGGGTAAGTGATATAGATTTCATAACAATATGTTTTGTTTATCTGTGTCATTTTATTTATCCATTGCAAAAATCTATATCATTTCAGAGTAGAACACCTCTATTTGTAAATTTACATTGGTTACAAAATTGTATCAAAAAAATCCTACTACATATTTATTTATTTAAAAATTATATAGAGTATAAATTGATGCATGTAGCCGTTACTCTGTTGTAGGAAATCATAATGAAGAAAAGAGAATTGAAACTTTCTATGTTTTTTACCACTTTTATTTGTAACTAACGTTACTGCAGTTTCGTCCTATAAGGACATGTTCAAACTTATTCATTAAACTAAAAATGTTTTTTTTTTACATTAGCATCATTACATAGCATAGCATTAGCATCATTGCATAGCAGCATTACATTAGCATCAGCATTAGTAGCAATGTCAAATTCTACAGATAGTTGTGTGTATAAGTGCGGTCCTGAAAACTTCTTTAATTTCTGATGATAAATTACGATTCAAATTAGGAATTTAGTATCAAACTGCTAGATAAAATGCATTCGGCAAAAACACGATAAACAATTGACCGTATTCCACCAAAATTAGACACTTTTAAGAAAATTTGGTGATGTAAAAGTTTAGAACAGTGAGTTTATTCCTATTAATGTTACCAAAGCTAATAACAACATGGCTAACTTTGGCTGCTGTAAGACGCAATCTTTCCCGTCAAATCATTATATATGCATAAGCTGCTTCAAGGTTTTTCACAGGAGCTGTGTACTGCAGAATAAAAACAATTATAAATTCCTCAATAACTTCCAAATTACCTGCTGCATTAATGATTTGAATAAAAGTGTGTTATTGGAACAAACAATTAGTTATATCATAGAAGACAGCAAAAACCAAAAGAGCTACATTGACAAACTCAAACATGAACATATAAGATTCCTTGAAAAAGTCTCCCAAAAAGAGGAAGATCTTAATAAACAATTGCGTAATATTGAGATGAAGTATATTGAGAAAGTAGAGTCACAAAACAAAACAATAAAAGAAATTGGAAAATGATGCTTTGGTACTAAAGGATATCAACAGAAACATGTTAAGAAGAGAAGGACTGGAGTACAGGGTGCCATGATGTGAGTAAAGTTAATGCTGAAAAAATACCACTGAGTTCTTTTATTAATGCAGAGATGAGCCGTTCTATCAAAAACGTCAAAAATATTAACAAACCAAATTTTCTCATTCTTTGTCATGAAACTGGTTATGGCCTGGGCAAAACTTTGTATCGGAGCTATGGTAATACATTTAACATCCAATCAATCATCAAACGTAGTGCCTATTTCGAAAATGTTATCGACCATGTTATTAATTTATCAAATAATTTCTCTCTTGATGACTACATAATAATTATTGCTGGATCTAATAATTTCAAAGCAAAAAGGTATCCAACTTTTAAAATACTGAACAGCAAGCTTAAGAATTGCACCAATACAAAACATAATCCTTTCCTCAGTACCATACTTCAGGAATCATAAATTCAATGAAATTATTTATAAATACAACATTATTATTAATGATTATGCAAGGAAACTGAACCATTATGCAGAAGGAAATATTTCTTTTCTGGATATCAATAATTCTGAAGGTAATCTGCTGAGTAATGCTGCCATTCTGAAGAAGATTACTGAATCAAATGTACTGAGAAAAATACAGGAGTCCAATCTGAAGTTCGTGCATGTAAAAAAAATTATGGATAGCTCAGGAAACTATTAGAAATATAACTCATGTAGATAGAGACGACAACAATGGAATATCTAACAATGAATAATACGATGTCTTGTACTGTATTTTAATCTCATTATGTTAATTTTTCTCAATTTTGATAACTTCTATGTCTGACAACTTTACAATTTGGCCATCTACATCTTTATTTAGTCTAAGAACTGGTAGTTGTTTTATATCTATGAAATCACCATAACCCATTTCATTTACAATGAAAGGTGTTCCACGTTTTTTAGCGTCTCGAATAGCGCCTTGTTTCTCTATTACAGAATGTACAGCATCTCCCTCATTCTGAGTATGACCGCGTATCAGGCACTTATATGTTATGGACTTAATTTTTAAGTATTGGACTGCGTAAATATACACTCCGATAATAAACTCTTCTGCTGACCACAGCAATTATCAGAGTAGAAAGTTATGTCCAGATATTCGTCGGCACAAGAAGATTTTTTTTTGCAAATATTTTAATACACAAGTACCTATTTCATTTGCTCCTCGGTGTCCTTAAGATTCATCCCAGAAGAAGCATTCAGTTTTGTCAAGTTTAAGGTCAGAGATGGTGAAGTTCAAGCAATTTATTTTAGACTTATAATAAAACGTAGAAATCTCTAGTTGTTGACAAACTGTTTTAATTGGATGTTGAGGCTTCAGGATCTGAACAGTTTTCCTTGTTTTGAATTGCTAGAATTAATATTTTTCTACCCCTATCTCTTGACGGATTCATTTTGATAACCTTAAACAAGGAAGAGAATACGTTTCTCAAATGCAACAATGACATCCAAATATACGAAAAACAATTCCCGAAATCTCTATAAGTAATAGGAAAACATAATTTTGGTTATAATTCACTATAACAATATCATTTCAAAACATTGTAGATGTCATATTTTACAAAACAGTGGCGGTATTCTCACAATTACGCTTATTTAACAAAATGAAACATTTTCATCCTCTTAATTTTATAGTATTACTGGCACTAAGAGGAATATGACACTTAAACAGTGATTTAAAACATCTATATTTCAATAATTTCACCATAATTTTGTTTAAAAACAGACACTGAAAAGAAAATGCCGTTTCTATTCACAAAAAAATGGCGATTTGAAATAAATATAACCAAAAAATGGCACTATGGTTATAATGCCATTCATGTTTTTATCAATTCATAAAATTATGACAGACAATAGTTGACAATAACAAAAAATTACATTTTTAAATTCATCAAAAATAATATTCTAGTGTACAATTAACTAAATAAGCGACACTATACATAAAATGTCATTTTTTTGTTCATCAGAAAATTTATTTCAATATTACTTTAACTAAATAAGCGACCCTATACTTAAAATGCCATTTTTTGTAGTTATTACTTCAGCAAAAATATCAGTTTGAATTATGCTTAAAACAACACTATACATAAATGCCACTTTTTTTACTCGTCGCAGCGTGTATCCACTCCGAATGCTTGTCTTCAACTGGATAGTGTCACCTTATGAATGACTTCTTCGTCATTTACGCAAAAGTTCAAACTGACACTAGCGGCCTCTAGGGAAAAGTATTCAAACTAAGATAAAATGTCGTTTTTGCAATAAAAGCGCTTTAGGAATCTAAATGTCGTAACTCAATATTGCTCATTTTAGTATAATGCCACTTTTGTTTTCAAGGTGCGATATATTAAATTTTGCTGCATCTTCTTCCCATTATAACACCAGAAACTGCAGCACACTATGAAACTGTGCCAACTAAAAACATTACCAGATACTCCATATTTTACAAAGGTGGAAAAATGTACAATCATTTGCCTATGGACATAAGATCTGCCAATATAAATGACTTCCAATTGAGGAAGTTAGTCAAATAATTTCTATCTGATAGACCCTATTATACTTTGATTGATTGATTTATTCATTTAAGTAGAACAATCCTAATTTACAAAAATACAGTATAGAATAATGGTTTGGATGAATATTTCAACCATAGCTTTCAACTGACTTACGCATATTTTTCATCTTTACCTATTAAGGAGCTCCTAAGTTGTTACTTTCTATGTCGACTTTTTTATAAACTTGGCTTTTACTCTTTTATATATATACATATCTTTTATATCCTCCATTTTAACATAGTTTGTACCCATGCACCATTTTTATTTTTATTTCAATTGGTATGTATTGCATTTTTTTAAGTATTTACTACCCAAGCTTTGTCTACAAGATTATGTCTTATGATAATAAAGCATATTATTATTATTTTTTTTTTTTTCACCGTAGTGTGCGCTGGTCAGGCCCTATCCCCCGAAGCCCCGATACATTCGGAAGGGCGCGCCTGCATTATCAACCAATGACCACTCCCCACACCGTGGGGTAAGTGATCATTGGGCCCGAGAATCATGTGCCCCGAGCAAGCGCAGTGAGCCAAGAATGACAGCCTTTTGCATCTGTGCGGCTAAGATTTCTGTCTTGGTGAGGCAAGCCGGTATGATTTTAAGATTCGAGAGTAGAGAGGGCATCATTTCACCAAGGACTCCAATAATCAGAACAACCATCTTGACAGAGTGATCTGGATAGAGTCTGTGGAGTTCGAAGAGAAAATCTCGATATTTTATCCGTTTTTCCTCCTCTTTTCTGACGATATTCGTCTCGCTATGAGCTGAAAACTCCACGACAAATATCGTTTTGCTCTGGTGGTCGAGAAGGGCTTCATCAGGCTTATTAGCTTGTATGAGCCTGAGGGTGGGGAACGAATAGTTCCAACAAATTCGGCACTTCTCGTTTCCCACAACGGATTTAATATCCCCCGGAGCTTAGGGCAACACCAGTGTCTCGTCAATACCGTAAGAGTGCCATAGATGGTAATATAGCACACTTAGGGCCGCGTTATGTCGATGGATATAGGCCGAGACCGCATATGCTGGACATGCTGATATCAAGTGCATTATGGTCTCTGGCGCCTCGCGGCAGGCCCTGCACCTTGTATCAGGAACCTCTATTCCCATCACGCGACTACGGTGTTGACTTGATTGAGTACCTGAATTTACAATGCGGATGTGCTAATTTGAAAACCGGTGAGTAAAGTAATCGATTTGATGATTTAACAGGTTGCACCCGCAATGTTTATGTTTGTGAATTTCCAAGGAATCTAAGTAATTGAGTTTGTAACCCTTCCTTACATAGTGCAAAATTTCCGTATCGTTTAGATTCGGGAACTTGTGGTTGCATGCCAAGGAATGGTTTGAAAACGTCGAATCATTTTTTCCTGGTCTGAAGGACAGCATACCGTTTTTGGAAATTTCAATCACATTGTCCCACATAAACACTATTACACTCCGGACACTTAAGCTTATAAACTCTAGATTTCTCAAACTTGTCCACCTTATCTTTGGCATCGAAAAGGAAATAAGATAACCTGGCATGTGGTATGAATGCCACCTCCACATTGTTTTTATGAAGAAACCCGCAATTATCTCTGTTCTTTTTCCAAAATATGTTATCTTATGACCTATCCGTGTAATGATATCAATTTTCCTAGCTAGATTGTTAGCAGACAAAGGCAGTGAGAGTGCTCTGTGCAACATTGAATTGTAGGCTGATAATTTATGACTGTCTGGATGGAAAGAATCGCTTGAGATGGTAATGTCTGTATAGCTAGGTTTTCTGAAAACATTGAAACATTGAAACAGAAAACGAATTTCGGCAACGGTCTCAGTTTCGGCCAAAACCGAAACTTCCTTACAAGGATTATGTTTTGAGGAAAAAATAAAGAAAACGTTATAAAACAGTCAGTCTTTATTTTTTTATCTTTAAATCACAACGTTATGCAGTCTTCAACATTTTTACTTATTGATAATCAACATAACAAACCCTTATTTAAGAAAAAATATTAATTGCACCTTGAAAGTACTTAAAATAGGTGAGGTGTTTATTTGAGTAGGTGTAGATCCTTTTGAATATCATTGATGGTTTTTCAAAAATAATAAACATAAAATTACTTATTTAAGTTTATACCTAATATCACAATAGGTACTTATTAAGTACCTATTGTATTGTAAACAAAGTAAATAACAAAGTTAGTCACGAGTCATGAAATGATTAGGCACGTGGACTCGCAAAATGTCTTCGTCGCTTGTATGAAATTCAATTCGCCGCTTGTATGAAATTCAATTCGCCGAACATGATCGATCACAGCGCGGGAACTCCCGAATGCGATTTCGATCGTAGTTTCGGCAGGTTTGCCGCCAAAACTGAAACCCGTTTTTTGCCGAAACTCGACAGAAACCGAACTTTCAGTCGGACACTAGTGTAATGGTAAGGTCTAAGAAATGTATCTGTTTCTCTATATCTGTTTCGAGTGTGAACAGAATGTTGCCATCGAGATTATTCATGAATATCATAAATTGGTTTTTTACTGAGTTCGGAATTTACTATCTGATTTAGGCACACTATAGTAAATTCCGACCTGGGTAAAAAACATATTTTTGGTACATTCAGAAGTTAGAAAACAAAGCCGTAAATTCACTTAGAGAGAATATACCCTCAGGTCAAACCACCAGAAATCAAGAAATGGGTAACTCTAACATATTTTGGAAAAAGAATAGCGATAATTGCGGGTTTCTTCAGAAAAAACAATGTGGAAGATAACATGCATTCAGACCACATGCCAGATAACCTGGCATGTGGTCTGAATGCCAGGTTACCTGGCATGTGGTATGGAGTTTATAAGCTTTAGTGTCCGGAGTGTAATAGTGTTTATGTGGGACGATGTGGTCGAAATTTCCAGAAACGTTATGCTGTCTTTCAGACTAGGGAAAAATGATTCGACGTTTTCAAACCATTCTTTGGCATGCAACCACAAGTTCCCGAACGGAACGATACGGAAATTTTGCACTATGCAAGGAAGGGTTACCAACTCAATTACTTAGAATCCTTGGAAATTCACAAACATAAACATTGCGGGTGCAACCTGTTAAATGATCAAATCGATTTAGTTTACTCACCGGTTTTCAAATTAGCACATCCGCATTGTAAATTGTAAACTCAGGTACTCAATCAAGCCAAGTACCTCTATTATTACCTACAGGGGTGCTATATAAAGGCTAATGTAATAAACCATTTTTAGTTTAATGTAATAAGTTTGAAAATGTCCTTATAGTCGAAACTGCAGTAACGTTAGTTACAAATAAAAGTGGTAAAAAATATAGAAAGTTACAATTCTCTTTTCTTCATTATATAGAGTAATCACCAAAATAATGAAGCTCTTACTTACATATCTTATTGAGTGAACTTTATGAGATGAAACAAATTAACTGAATGATTATCTACAGACGGCTGAAGTGTTACTTCTGCATGACAGGTCATATCAAGACTGCATTGTTGTCTGATTTCCCGAATAATTTCCTCATTATTTCACCAATAGCTCACTACAAGGAAAATGTTTTACATATTCGGTTTCATAGATAGAGATTTCAAGTGTTGCTTAACATGCCATTTTGATTACATACAGATTTTTTTATTATATTTTTTTACAAGAGTGTCCCAACACTTAACTATGCCATCACGAATAACAATATATAAGACCATTATACAACCACATTTCGAATATTGTCTCACGTTTCTATACAGAACTGATTTAAATAAAATGAGAACTCCACAGAAACTACAGAAATGTGCAATGGGGATTATTTTGAAATGTGACAGGAGTACCCCGATATTTTTAATGTTGAATACTCTAGAGTGGTATCTATAGAAAGTAGGTTTACATATTTAACGATGATATATATTTACAAAATGTTGCATAGCCTTCTACCTTCATATTTTGACAAATTTTATAATTTTTAATGAGAAGAAATAATTTGTTTGTAAATAAGCAAACAAAAAGTTACACACTAAAACACTCATTTTCAAAGGATTTATTAAGTATAACAGTCTACCTGAAAATTTAAAGTCTTCTACCAGTTTGTTTGAAGGTGATAGACAATGTTTCATGATGAATTTCAATAGTTCGGACTCTATTATCTAATATTATATAAAATGATTTGAAACCCCTAAAAGAACCAATACAAATGAAAAATTAAAAACTATATCTGAAAATGACAATTATATTAAGCTTTCGGGCTCTGTAATATGAAGGAAGGTCTCGAGAAGGTACTAGACAACATCAAAAATGATCTTCAACGGAATGGATATCCCAAAGCGATGGTGGAACAGACTTTGGCTAAAAGACAGCAAGAGCCTCGCAAGGAAGACAAACCGTCACAACCAGTGTTTGCACTTCCCTACATCAGACGATTATCGGAAAGGATAAGGAGAATTGGGGCCAAGTACAACATCAGAACCTGCTTCAGATTAGGAAACCCTATCCGTAACAGTCTCACGAAAACCAGGCCACTTAACGAGGACTGCGATTCCAAGAATTGCATTTACTGGATACCCTGAGAGTGCGGAAAATCCTATATCGGTGAAACTAAGAGGCCATCGAAAGTTCGCATTGCCGAGCACAAGAAACACACACAGCGAGGGGAAATAGCAGAGCATGTTTGGACCAATCAACAAAACATCGAGTGCTCCCAAGCTGAGATCATACACAGAGAGGAACACTGGTTTAGGAAGAAATTCAAAGAAGCCTCATACATGTTGTCCAACAATGTATTCAGCCAAGCTAGCGTAGAGATATGCAACATATGGAAACCCACAATCAAGCGAAAAATTGCCAACTCTCGCCAAACGGTCATCTCCCGCTAAACGGGTGAAGCGGAAAGAGGAGATAAGTGAAAGTACTCGAATGACCCTTAAATAGTCATCTCTTGGAGGAATTAGTCCAGTCATCAGCCGAAGACGATTGTGGATACTAACAATCGAAACGTTGTGAAGTAACTTGGCTTGGAATCTTTTTTTATTGTTTTGCTTAATTCTATTTTTTACTTATATTTTATTTGACTATAATTTAATTCAAGGGTTTTTTGCTTGATATAATTGTTATTTTCAACAATTGTTTTCATTTTTCCATTTGTATTGGTTCTTTTAGGGATTTCAAATCATTTTTATATAATATTAGACAATGGAAGTCCGAACTAATGAAATTCTTCTACCAGTCATATTGTGTTTAAAAGGAATTTATTAAACAATTTAAGAGACCATTAAGGTGATATCAAATTATTATGTAGGTATTTTTTTGTATTTTTAATTATTGTAGGTAGTACTTATTGACAAATATTAGTAGATTTTTTTATTATTGTGTCTATATGTATATTAATGTTAACATTATTATCATTACATTATAATGCTCATTTTATGCTCTCAAGAGCATATAATTAGCATATTCAAAAAAGTACTTTGCGTTTTTCCTGAAATTTTGTATTGAGTCACATTTCGTGAATGTGTTAGGTAGCCTGTTACACAGATTTATTCCATTATAAATATAATGATTGAATGGAACTGGCCGATACTTGATGAAAATCCATATTAAAAAACTAATCAATACAGTTTATTGTATGTTTTTCACAAAATTGATTTCTACTAGCAGTTACAGCTGATACATTTGTTCTTGTGTATTTAAATTAATAAATATTTCCCCACGTTCATATTTCTTGAATTGTCAACAAGTTGAAAATTATTGATGTATTAATTTCTATTTTAGGTTCCACCGATGGGAGCTTTTCCACCACAACCAAGTATCAACCGGGAACTCATACCAATTCCTGTGATGGACAATAAGCCGCCAGAAATATATACACCTATATATAATCAACCACCCAATTTCATGAACAACATGGATCATGAAAATGTGTTTAAAAAAAAAAATTTTGACTTCAATCGTTTAGGACCTCGTGCAAAAAATCCTCAAAATTGTTCTTTAGAATTGAAAAAAGTTCCACAGGGTTTGAACAGCATAACACATCTCAACAATCATTTTTCTAAGTTTGGGAAAATCAACAATATTCAAGTTCAGTACGAAGGTGATCCGGAAGCTGCCATAGTTACATTTTCTAGTCACGCTGAAGCTAATGCAGCTTACAGGAGCACAGAGGCTGTGTTGAACAATAGGTTCATTAAAGTATTTTGGCACAACGTTCACAACTCAGAAGGTAAACAGGAAAATGTTCCTCCTGGGACAAGATCAGTTAAGGATCGATTAGGAGTGCAAAACATTGTAGCTCCCAATACTAATAAGGTTTTAAATTTAGTTCAACCAAGAGCTGATAATCCTGTTACAGAAAACTCTGACACAACAGATAGCAAAGTAACTTCTCCAGTGACGAAAGATGAAACCAAAGCTCAAGAAACCGAGGCGATTATAAAGAATCAAGAGATGTTGGCTACACAGGCAAAGGTCAAAAGGACTCAGGATGTACAAAGAAAACAGGTCATGAAAATGCAGAATGATTTGAGGAAAAAGAAACAAGAATTACTAGAGAAGCAACTGTCCCAACAAAGGATTTTACTAGTCAAAATGGAAAAATGTGAGAAATAATTTTTTTTTGTGATATACAACCAACGTCTGTTTCATAAAGTATCTTTTTTATTACTATCAAAAATACAGGCAAAATATCTCGACTCTCATATCCATTCATTTTAGTTCCTCCTGGTCCTCAGAGAGATGTCATCAAAGAAACTATCAAGAAAACGCAAGAGGCCATCGAAGCTATTAAAAAAGATCTAGAAGAAGCCGCCTTAGCTGCTAAAGCCTTGCCACAGAAGAAAACCAAGGAGGATACCCAACGTGAACTGTTGGATACTGAACTTGACTTGATTACAAAGCAACAGGAAGGGGCAGATACATCAGAAATTCAAAAAAAATTGCTAGAACTAAGGGCAAAGGTGGCAAGTGCAAGAGGTCGAGGAAGAGGGGCAAGGAGGTATACACCAATAATCAGTAGACATTTGTTGAGCAAAAACAATCTCAGTAAGTAAGAAATATGATTTTCATTCAACCTTTTATAAACCCAAAATGAAGAATTAGGGGTTGATAATTTTTTATTTTTGTTAAAGTTCATCATTGGAAAAGCCCCATTAAAATATGCCTATGGACTAGATATTCTCATCTTCCACAATCTGAAAAAAATAAAAAGTATGATGGAGAATATGTTTAAAAAAATATTTTCTTTCCGTTAACCAGCTATCGCACCCCTACGAACGACAACCCTCAGAAGTCAAAACTTGTGCGAGCTGAGGACTAAGAAGGTCTTACCTTTTAACGTGCGATTCCTAACACGAGTTGGACGATAGCAAGTGAAAATCGAGCGTACAGCCTGGGGCTTGAACCATCGACTCACACATTGGACGATTGACTGAGTGAACCAAGCACCCATGTCAAACCGTCCCCATAAAGATCCATAGAAAACTGATTTCCTCCACAAAAAAAGACTTATGCAATATTTGTATTTTGTAAATTCAATTTTCAACAAAATGAATGTAACAATTATATAATTTCAAAAATGAATAGAATAGAATAGAACTTTATTGCGCCCAAAAAAAAAATACAAATATTTTGGACAAGTCACCTACATTGCACAGTTACATAAAGAAGCTGTAAATGTAACAATAAAATTAAATGTAGAGTATGAAATGCATTTTAAAAATTCTTAACGTATAAAGAAACAGGAATAAAAGTGGAAAAGATGCACTATGTATCTCCAAGCGAATCCTTAAGAGTAACATTGAACTCACTCAGAGTATACAGGCTCATTTTAGTGAGAAGTTTTTTCGCTGTATTTCTGGAAAGTCTGAGTGGCAGCTGTTTGATTTTTTCAGGAAGTAAATTGAAGCAAGTGATGCCAATTGATTTGCTTTTATCCAATCTTCTCAAGAGGGGCACAATATTATTTCCATTGCGTGTTTTGTAGTAGTGAATATCCGAGTGTGTTGTGAGGGTGTGATAATTTTCTTTGACATGCAGAACATTGTCAAAGATAATTTGTGAGAATAGAGTCATGATTCCTGTATTCTCAAACAAAAGCTTACAAATACTCTTTGAAGATGGGTGTAGCTTGCATTACCCCAGCACAGCAACCCATAACTCATTGCTGAGTGGAACAAGGCGTAGTATGTCATTAGAGCTGCTTTCTGACCAGCCGTTGTAGCTATTCACCCAATGGCATATACAGATTTTGCTAGATTGTTGCAAAGATTACCGATGTGGGTGGTCCAGGCAAGAGACGAGTCAAGATGAACTCCCAAAAATTTTATACTTTCTGATGTAGAAATGGCATCAGTGCGATAGTTTGAAAATACACAAATTTCTGTTTTTGTTTCATTCATATA